ACCTGGTCAGGCAATGACCACAGGAAGCAGGAATGAGGGAGTGAGTCTCGCCCAGAGGCAGGGCTTCAGTATAGAGATTACTGCAGTGCTTTCCAGATGGTTCTTAGCCCAAAGATGAAAACCAAAACTGTGGTCAGGGATCAAGAATCAAGCCTCCACTTTAGTCTGGAGGGCATCCCATCTCTGAGGGCATCTCCATCACTGGTGATCCCAAACCCACATCTCAGGCCCCACATTTCCAAGTGCCTATTAGACACTTCCCCCCGAGTCTTATCTTACCAACATATCAAACTATGGATCTAAACCTTCCTTTTCTTTTTCACTCTTCAAAAACCCAGCACCTCCATGCAGAAAAATATTCTCCAGCCTCCTGGGATGGCCCCACTGGTTAGCAGGGACTCCACTTCTCTATGGTCCTCCAAGATGACACATTGGGCCCTACGTTAAACAGCTCCAACGGTACTTCCCATGGGCCCTTTCCTTTAGTGCTCACCAAACTAGGCCCTAAAGAAATTCAGGCCGTCCTGAACAAGCTCCTAAGCTGCAGTAATTAGACAGATACCATAAGGAACACTGTGCTAAATCTTGTATAAAAGAGCTCACAGGGGACAGGAGATAGGACAGAAGTTAAGGTGTGTGCCCGGCACACAACCAATGCAGGTTCGATTCCAAGCACCACACAGTCCCCCAAGCATTGCCATGTGCAGCCTCGGAGGCACCTAAGTATCCCCAAGTGATCCCCCAAAACCACCAGCAGTAGCTGGAAACTGAAGGGTTTAAGCAGCAATCATTTCCTTGGGCACTGACCCACCAACACAGTTGGCCAAGAATCATTGGTGCCCCTACACCCCACCCCACCCCAGACCTTTGGAGCACTGCTTGGGAGTCCCAAAAATACAATAAAGGTAGAGAGCATAGAATTTCAATCACTCTAGTAACGATTACCCACATTTTGTAGAGGTGAAAATAGAAGCTCTTGAAGATTGAGCAACTTGTCCATGGCACAAAGAGTTAAGTGGCAGAGCCAAGCCCTCCAAGGCAGATAGTGTGATGGAGACCAGACCATTTCTCAAATGTAAGGAGGCTGGGGCAAAAATTGGAAATGGGGTTCTCTCTGAAGTGTGGGCATTAAGAGCCACGTAAGGAAAGAAATCAAGAATTGGACAGTAATGCATGCCTGGAGTTTTCAGTACTGTCAAATGATCAGCAACACAGAAGGAGGAGGAAGCTAGGAAGCAAGGCAGAGAGGAGGCAGACAGAGCAGCTGGGCTCAGTCTTGGCAGTGAGGGGGCCCTGACACTAGCCACCCGTGGAGACACCGAGGGTAGAAAGCATGCCCAAGAGTTGGCATGAGCAGCTCGTTAGCTCAAACTTGGGCTCCAGTCAAGGCTCCACTGAAAATATGGATGATTTTTTTTTTGCTTCTTTTTTGGGTCATACCCGGCGATGCACAGGGGTTAATCCTGGCTCTGCACTCAGAAGTTACTCCTGTCAGTGTTAGGGACCATATGGGATGCTGGATGCTGGGAATCGAACCTGGGTTGGCCGTATGCAAGGCAAATGCCCTACCCGCTGTGTATTGCTCCAGCCCCTTGGCTGAATTCTTGAGATCAGTCAAAGCCATGTGTGGGCCAGCCACCTGCTCTTCTGAGATGAAGGAGGATAATCAGGCAGGGATGAGAAGAGAGAGATGAGAGGCAGCAGGAGGCTGGCTAATGATCAACAGGGTACAAGCCAAGATCCCCCATTCCTAAGGTCACATCTCTAGAGTCACATCTTCTTTTGGGGGCACGGGAAAATGTTCAGTCATGCTCAGTGCTAACTCCTGATCTGCACTTAGGGATCATTCTTGGAAGTTTTCAGAAACTACATGGGATGACAGAAGTAGAACCAGTGTCAGACACATACAAGGAAAGTATCTTAATCCCTGTAATATCTTTTCACCCACATTCTGCTTTATTTTTGTTTGGTTTGGGAACCACACCTGGAAGTGCCCATGGCTTACTCCTGGATCTGTGCTTAGGGATCACTTCTGGTGGGTCTCAGGGGGCCATAGGTGGTGCCAGGGATAGAATCAGAGTCAGCCCTTTGCAAGACAAGTGCCTTACCCACTGTCTCTCTTGTCCCCACATTTGCTTTCAACACCATTCCCCTAGGCAAATTCTTTCTAGCCTGTCTACTAGGTCTGTCTATACTCTTATTTGGTATGGTTGAGTTTGGTCCTTTTCACTCAAACCAGTGCCTAACCTTGAACCTGACCCCCATGAAAGGCTCTATGAGGGTGCCAGGTAAACTCCCAAATGTCCAGGATCACTGAGTGCCTCAGAACAAGAAAGGCTTAGAAACCATTTTGTCTGTGTCCCTCATATTAACCTCACAATGTGACTTTCTCAGGCCCTCAAAGCACAGTTTGCACAGGGAGCCTACACCTGACCCTTCTGTTGCACAAACTGCCTTTTGCCCCACTCCCAAACAACTCTTCCTTTCTCCATTCCACCATCACAATTCCCAGTGACTCACTTAGTACCTGTAACAACACAAAGGGTGTGGAAGGAACATCTGCTGATTGGGATTCACTGACCTCAATTTGCCAGGGGGGAAGTAATTACTAAGATTAGTCAATAGTAAGGTGTGAATGAGCTGGAGGGATAGCACAGTGGGTAGGGCGTGTGCCTTGCATGTGGCTGACCTGGGTTCGTTTCCTCTGTCTCTCTTGGAGAGCCTGGCAAGCTACCGAGAGTATCCCACCCGCCCAGCAGAGCCTGGCAAACTCCCCATGGTGTATTCGATATGCCAAAAACAGTAACAACAAGTCTCACAATGGAGACATTACTGGTGTCCACTCGAGCAAATCGATGAACAACGGGAGGACAGTGCTAAGACAGTGCTATAGTGCTAAGGCGTGAATAGTCGACTGACAGTAATTCCCTCACTCTTCAAAGAATTTGTATTTCAAAACAATATTTGCTCCCATTCAAATTAGCTGTCAGAAACTCAAAAGATACAAGTATTATTTCAGGACCAGAGAGAGATTCCTAAAATACTCAGATCACTACACATGCTATAGTGCCAGCCAGTAGACAAGAGCCTACAGGGTGAAAAGTATTTGCATTTAATGCTGGTGCCACATTATAGCCACTAGAGGGAGCTAAAGGCTCCCCACTGGTCCACTGCCCCTGCTCACTCCTATTCACCACCAGCAAGGCCACCAACAAATCATTTTATTGGGACATTCTGCTGCACATCTGGTCTTTGCTTTTAAATTATTCCTTGGGATTCTGCCTTTCCCCAGTATGCTCCAGCCTCGGAAGTGGATCTTCCGTGTTAGCTCGAAGGAGGCTGAATTCGTCTCATTTTAGATGACTCTGCCTTCTCTCCTCCGCCTCACCTTTCCTGCGGCAACTTGGCACAAGGGTCGGGGAGGTGTGGATCCGGCCCCAGACATGACCAGATCCTACTTTTGACCTGCAGTGCTGGCTACTCACGCCTTCCCTCAGCCTGCAGAACCCCCCACAGGGTCCAGCATTTTCAGAGAGGAAACTCTCCTTGAACCCGAGCCTGCTCCTCCACGGGCACCTGCCTTGGCTCCTCTCTTCTCCTCACCCCTGTCACAGAGGTGGTGAGCGAGGGAGAAAGTCTTGTTTCTGGGCATCAGGGCACTGATGGTGCCCTGACTCCCCCCTTATCCCAGCTCTGGAGCCGGAAAACCACAGCAGCCGATAGCAAACACGGGCCTCGAACCAGCAGCACCTTGCTTCACCTGGGGATGGGTCAGAAATGCAAATGCCCAAGCCTGCAAGTGGGAATGGGGATCGAGAGTCATGCTGGAGGACTCAGGGCTTTAAACTCCAGGGTTCTCTGGGGCAAAGTGAGAGAGGTACGGCTGTGCCCTGTGGAGACAGGCTGTCTCAGCCATGGTCAGCTGTCAGTGAAGTCAGCCTCTGCCCACTGCAAGCACCCTGGGGCTTCGGGGACCCCTCTCTATCAAGACCTAAAGAATCACTCGTGTGGGTGAGGGAGGAAGGGCAGTTAAGATAGAGAAGAAATCAACATGTCAATAAGGGATGGGTACTCGATCACTGTACAACTGAAACCCAAGCACAAACATTTGTAAGTCTATAACTGTACGTCATGGTGTTTCACTAATAAAAATTAAAAGTAAATAAATAAATAATAGCTGGAAGACCTTTTGCTGGCCTTTGGCATGCACTGTGTTCCAGACTCAAGGCCTTTGACCAGGGGTAGATAACAGCAAGAGGTGGGTTTCAGAGGGGCTCTTTCTCCTGGTCTGTGCTGGCCTCAGGTTTTCTCTCCTGATTCTGCCACCTTGGCGGCCAGAGGCTGTCTCCCAGGCCTGAACCCTGTTCACTCAACTCTCTCAGGGTCAGGGTCAGTGACCTGCAAGTCTCAGTATTTCCTGGTTATATTCTCAGTCCTGCCCAGATGGTCAGAACCAAGCTCTCGGAAACGGTGATGGATTAAGGGCAGCTTGACCTCTGGTCACTCTCACCACCCAGTGTCCACAGTCTGCAGAACGACTAGCTAATAGCAGATTCTCTGCTCACTGATTCAGTCAGAAACTAGGATTGTGGGACCAGAGTGATAGTACAGCGGGCTGGGTGTTTGCCTTGCACATGGATTACCCCTGGAATCATAAGTGTTCCACTGAGCCCCACCAGGAGTGAGCCCTGAGCACAGAGTCATGAGTAAGCCCTGAGCACTGCTGGGTGTGGTCGCTAAACAACCAAAAACAAATCCAAAAAAGCTACAATCGAGTGGAGGCTATTGCTGCATACCCACTGAGGCAGGTGAGTGGGATGCCAGTTCTGAACCCCAACCAACATTCTTTCTAGAAGGGGTCCAGAGAGGGCCGTCCCGGGAGTCCCTGGGCAAAGCAAGAGGCAGCTAGTGAACTCAGCCTGGGGAACAGACACACACAGACAGGCCTGCCATCCTCCTGAGGCTCTGAACACCGCCCCCTGGTGGCAGGTGCTGCACACCTGGTTTGCCTTCAAGCTGCGGGGTGTCCTGCAGGCTCACGGGGCTCCCAGGGCTGCCGCTCGGGGTTTCCCTGGGGGAGGATGAGGCCCGGAGAGTCACCGCTCCCTTCCCAGTGCAGATTTTTGTAGGATCCATGTCTGAAAAAAAAAATACAAGAAGAGAAAAGTGAGTCCAAGGCTCCTGAATGCTGGAAGCAGCAGGCAGCTGGCGACAGCCAGGGAGTGAGATGGATCTCCGGTACAGCCACGCAGTCTTGTGGTCGATGGAAATGAATTTGTGGGTGGCAGAGAGGGAGACATCCCATTTTTCGAGGTTTACCGCACATCGTGAGGTTAGGGCGGGGAATGGAGGCAGCAGTGAGCAGTATCAGCTGAGGACATGTCACCAGTGAAAGCAGGTTGATGCCTTCTAGTCGATGACATTAATATCACATTAATTCTAACCGATTAGTAAGGCACAGCTCAAGAAAAAGTCCCAAGAAGATTTCTCAAGCTCCCAGACAGACCATCCGCCAATTTAAAAAAAAAAAAAGCATGGTGACCACCTTGAGAATTAGGCGGTTCTTCTGTTCAGAAACAATGCTCTTCACAGCTCTTCAATGGTGGGGGAAAGTGGGGGAGAAACGGAAAAGGAAATCTCTGGTATCAGCAAGACCCCAGTAGGGATGAGACAGGATATGCTGCCTGGGGTGGGGGGAGGGGGAGACAGGACAGGAGACAGACATCCTCACATTCCACAGTTAATGAAGAAAATTCGCACCAAAGAAAAGGGTTACAAATGCTGAACTGGCCCACCGACAGTGCTGGCTGCACCCCCAGCTGAGTCTGTGTTAGGGGGTGGGGGTGGGAGTCCCAGATGCTCCTACAGTTCACAAAGGCTTGATCACAGACCCAGGTCATCTTTCAGAATTCTACTCAGAAGAATTTCAAAACAGGCTTCAAAAGATGTGGGTGTTCATCCTTCAGGAAACACCACAATGGGGAGGCAAGAAACCGCTCAGACCACACAGTTCTGGAAGGTTCCTGTATGCAATGCTCCCCCATACACCGAACTACACTGAATTCCAGGGCACCATTTTCCAAATGACTTGTAGCACAGCCTGGACATAAAGACTGGTGGGACTATGGGTTAGAGTCTCAGATGGGGACCGGACAGGATGATGTCAGATTCAGCCCTGCTCTCATGCAGGGCAAACCCTTCTCCCTCTGCATATTCCAGTGTATTCCCCTTGGGCAGACCCTTCGTGATGCTCAGAAAGGAAGATCTTAGCGTTGCTCAAGAGATCAGATCTGTGTCCTCAGAGCCTCTTTCCTTGAAAGTGAAAGCCTCAAAACACAAACATACTCAGAGCAGGAGCAGCCTTAGAGAGCAACTGACTTGTACAGCTCTAAAAAGGGGACAAGTGACAGAAGTCACAGACCTCCAGGGACAACTGGCTCATGGGTTTTGTTGTTGTTGTTTATTTATTTATTTATTTATTTTTTCAAATAGATGAGAACAGCACAGCAGGTAGGGCATTTGCCTTGCACACGGCCGACCTGGCCGACCCAGGTTCGATTCCTCCTCCCCTCTTGAAGAGCCCGGCAAGCTACCGAGAATATCTCACCCGCATGGCAAAGCCTGGCAAGCTCCCCGTGATGTATTTGATATGCCAAACACAGTAATAAGTGTCACGATGGAGACGTTATGGGGAACACTTGAGCAAATCGATGAACAATGAGAGGACAGTGACAGTGGGGAACAAGCTGACAGAAGCAGCCTGTCCCTGGGTTCTTAGCTGCCTAGCCAGATTTGCCCCTTTGACCCATTCCTGAAAGTTCCATGGGGTTAAACAAAATGCTCCCTGGGCCTTTTTGGCTTTGTTCTACAAAGACAGAAATTATGAGCTGGAGTTCACACCCGACCTTTATGCCCACCTTGACGTGGCAGGCAGGAAGAGGCTGCAGGTGGAGGACTGGGGGGGAAGGGGGGCACAGTCGAGGTTGCATAAGAGGACAGGCTAGAGTCCCTGTCTGGCTGCTTCCAGCTTTGCTCAATGAGGTGGCTCCCTGAGCAGCCCCATTAACTATCTGCAAAACTGGAGTGGCAAAGAAAGCACTGAGAGGTAGAAGACTCCAGAGAGAGCCTAACAGGCTCAGAAACCAGAATTTGTTCTCAGTTCCTCTCACACTTAAGCACAGAAAAACATGCACACATGCACACATGTGTGAAGAGACAGGAAACCAGCTGAGGAAGTTAAGCATGGATGCATCCTAACCATGCAAGGACTAAGGCTCCTAGTCTTGTTAGAAGGAAAGAAGGGAAAACCATGCATGACCTGCTAGCAATTAAAAAAAAAAAAGATGTTCTGTTTTATTTTTAAGGGAAACAACCCAAGGGGAGATACCTGGAGAGAGTACCAGGCCTGAAGAGTTTGTCACTGTCTTCACGGGAATTATTTTAACAGCAGATACAGAGCGTACACGTAAAAGGTCAACAGGGGCTGCAAACACAAAAGGGTCAATGGTACATCCAGAAAGAACATTTGGGAGGCATTCAGGCAGCTGAGAAACTGGGCCCGGACAATTGCAGGAAGTCGCCCACATGGCAAGAACAATAGGAGTGGTACAGGCAGTGGTCTTAGACAAACTGAATTTCAAATGCTTTCTCTCTTCTGAGCCCTGCGCCAAGTTGGCAGAACCTTCCCTCCTCCTGTCCCCCAAATGCAGTTGGTCAGTGTTGATCGTGCCTCCTGTCACACCAGGAGCTTGCCAAGACTCTGGACAAAGAGATTCACAGAGATGCAGATGGCCTGGCAAAGAGAGGAAAGGGAGCACAATCGGTGTCCAAGGGGGTCCCCAACCCCCCGGAGAATACTACGGGGAGGACTCCCAGGATCAGAGGGATGACTCAGTTCCCGGTGAGGGAGGAGGTAGAAGACCAAGCCCAGAGGTTGCCTGGTCATTTCAGCCATCACAACAGCTCCCCCAGAATCATGACTTTTGGGGTCTTGTGCCTGCTCTGGTAATCACAACCTTCTAGCCCTGACTCAGTCAGAACCCCTGTGGGCTGGGCAGCAGATGGTCCTGTTAAACTCACCCTTTCCTGGGCAGCACAATGCCAAGTGTCCCAGGGCACACTCCAGTCTCTGTCTGGGCAGCCCTCAAGTACCCAGGCCAAGACCCTGACTTCAGCCAAGTGGAGGGGAGCTGGGATAAGCAGGAAGGATGGGGTGAGCACTCATGGTAGTCTCTCTGCAAGCATCTTTGCTCACCCCATCTCCCCAGGTTCTGGAATCTCAAGGAAGGGCGGGCCCCCAAGTCCTCCTTCTCACAACAAGTGTGAGGGCTTCCTGGGCCCCCTCTAATGGAAATGGAAGAGATGTGGGTGCAGAGGCTACAATGGACTTGGGACCCCAAAGCCAGGCAGTCACTGTGGCTTCAGTCTTGAGTTGGCCAGTCTGGCATGAGGAGCAAAGGAAGAGAAGCTACTCAGAGCTGAGGCGCTCGCCTTCCTGCCCACCATGCTGCCGTCTCATAGCGGTGTGGTGACCCTCAGTGACAGCTGCTGCTGACAAGACTGCACCTTGGGAGATTGGACTATGCTCCACGGACTGCGCTTCTCACGGCCTCAGAGCATGGCTGGGTGGGAGAGCTTCTGTGAAAGAAGCAAGAGGTTCCAAGAACAGTCCAGAGCCCTCCAGTTCTCAGGACGAGAGGCAGGGGCTGGAGCTCAGTCATCCCACACCTGGTACATGGACCTCCAAGGCCGCCCAGATCACCTTCAACCCACCTTCACCTCTTTGCTGATCCTGGTGGTACCGGGAATTGAACCCAGGGCCTCGCGCACCAAAGCTCAGCAACTTTACCACTGAGCCATATCCTCAGCCCATGACTCTTTTTTTCAACTAAAGGTGATTTTCCCTGAGGAGAGAGTGAACGCTACCTCCATCAAGCCCCTCCTCACACACCTTTTAAGTCTCCTCCATGAAAAATTAATAGTCATTGGGTTGACAGCCAACTGGTTTTAAAAGCATGGAAGCCTAGGGTATGGCACTCGCCTTGCATACAGCCAATCCAGGCTTGAACCGTGGCATCCCATATAGTTTCCCAAGCACCACCAGGAGTAATTCCTGAGTGCAGAGCCTGAAATAACCCCTGAGCACTGCCAGGTATAGCCCCCAAACAAACAAACAAACAAACAAACAAAAAATGTACACAGGCTCCCCACATCATCTTATGTTCTTCATCAAAGGCTCAATTCCTCCCTTATATGCACTCAACGGTCACAGGCCTTCAATATTCTCTGACTGCAATTCAGCCAAGAGTGTCCAAGACTCCCGGGAATGTCACCAAGAGGCCACGGCCCCCAAACCAAAAATGCCCCACACTCCTCAGCCCTCCTTCATATGTCTCTGCTGTCTCTCTGCCCAGCTGGCCCCTCTGACTAATGCTTTGCCTTGTCTCAAAAGGAATACTTGGGTGAGCCATATGAGAACTTCCTGAAGTTACTCTGTGAGAGATACGGCATCTGGACATCCATGTCCAAGGACGGAACTTTGCATAACAAAAGATATCGGGGCTGTGCCCCAATAAAATCTCTGTCATTCACAATTTAAAGCAGAAATTCAAACTTTAAATATCAAACTTCCTTGTTTTACAGATCTGGGAACCCACAACCATGAAAACAAAGGACCTCCTGGGATCTCTCTGTGAGCAGTTGTAAATGGGACTTGTATTCCTTCTTCCCACCACCCGTGAAGGAAAATGAGGGGACCCTGAGGGCTTCCCACCGTGGGAAGCCACACTGATCGCTGGGGGTTATATGAACATTTACAGGAACTCACAGGACTTCAGAGATCCTCTCACCCATGATTTGTTCCATATGTAAATTTAGAACAATTCTAAACTGAAAGTTATGAAGAACACTGAGTGAAAGAAATTCCCCAAAGATGACTTTTTTCACCCTCTGAGCTCTTGACTTGAGTTCAGGTGTGAATATACTGATATTACAGGTTGAAGGTGAAATGCTGGGCAAGGGAGATTTGAGGTGGATACATGCCAAACGTGCCATACGTGAGGTATTACATCATCAGATGTGAAGTACTACATCACCAGATGTGAGGTACTGCATCATCAGATGTGAGGTGCTACATCACCAGATGTGAGGTACTGTATCTTTGGATTTGTTTGTTATTGGTGGTATTCCTGTGAACTGGGGAGAATATTTTGGTTTTGGTTTTGTTTGTTGTGTTCAGAAGTTATTCCTGGCTCTGCACTCAGAAATTACTCCTGGCAGTGCTCAGGGGACTATATGGAATGCTGGGGATTGAACGTGGGTTGGACACATGCACAGCAAATGCCCTTCCCACTGTGCTATCCTCCCAGTTCCTGAGGAAAGTGTTTGATACTTCACCTCACCATGGAATGCAGCAGCCTCAGATGCAGGAGATGCAAGAACATGCTCCACTGTCTCAGACATTGTGGGAAATGGGTCCCCAGTTCATGGCCTCAATCAACCAATGTCTGACCCCTCCAGACAGGTGGCCCAAGCCCAACAGGCACTATTCCTTGTAGAAACACAATCCAGCCCCCAGTTAGGTGGTCTTAAGGAGCCTTACCTTTGTCTTGCCCATTGCTGCCTGGTGGCAGCCCGTTCACCACAGCTTTTGAAGCGTCAACATCACACTCTGAAAGAGACAAAGAGCACCAGGCTTGGAAGAGGCCTCTGGGACAATGACAGGGCCCCACCTGCTGCAGTGCTAGGGACACACAGATTTTCTCAAGTCTGGGAGGAGCCTGGAAGGTATGGGGGAGAATCCTGAAGATGTGCTGAGCCTTGAGCCAGGAGGGGGTGCAAAAGCTGTCTGGGGACAGGAAGGGTGTGGCGGGTGAGGCCAATTCTCTGGCCTCTGACCTGGTTGTGCTTCTCGCTTTGAAAAGAAATCTTTACTCCCTCCAAAGGAAACTTGGCCCCTGACCTAGGATCACCAGCTCAAAAGCCAACTGAAAGCCACCCCCAGGGAGATCTTTCTAGAATCAGGGCGGAAGCCTGCCGCTCTGGGAGACTTTCCTTCACTCCATCCCTCATGCCCTGGTTAAGATCAGCGTCCCTCCCCAGATACAGCTCTAGGCACTGAGCTCCCTCCCCAGCCCACTGCTCTCGGTGGAGGCTCTTGTGGCTTCCTGCTCACCCTTGGACCATCATTCTGGCCCTTCCTTGCCCCAGGTCACCTCTGCATCTGCTGGCACAGTCCTCCTGGCTTAAAGAGTTCCATGTTGTGGAACAAACGAACACAAAATAGGACAAACCTATAGGAAGTCTCTAAAACCCTCCACTGGGCTCAGATCATCTCCCCATCGTTTCTACTCTGCTTGGAAAGGGAAATGACGGCACGGTGTGGGAAGCCAATCATTCAGATGATTGTCTGCAGGCAGGAAAATGGAATTTGAAGTTCCCCCAATTACACAAGTGATGGTCTTATTTTTTCACTAAATGGAATGATCCTTGATCATATTTATACTAATTTATTATATTTACTTAACTATCAAGACTGTAGCAATAGTACAGCCGGTAGAATGTTTGCTTTGCATGCAGCTGGCCTAGCCCAGGTTCGATCCCTGGCATCCCATATTGTCCCTCAAGCACTGCCAGGAGTGATCCCTGAGTACAGAGCCAGGAGTAACCCCAGAGTACCACTGGTGTGGTCCCCAAACAACAAAAACAAAAAAAAATTAATTTTTTTTTAATAGGCTGACTTTTAAAAGAAGAGCTGACCCTGAGAATCAAACAAGAAGCAGAGGCCACCTGCTACCGTGGGGACAGAGTCTGGTCACCTCACCCAGAACTAGGGGCTTTTCCTCCCCTGGTCTTGGCCTTTCCGTCTGCTTGGCCCACCACAGCCTGTCCTCGTGACCCCGTGAGTAGGTCAGAAACTTTCAGGCCTCAATCACTATGGGAAAGCCTTCTCACTTGTCTTGACCTTGGGGGGAATCCTGTGCCGCTGGTTCCACTCAGTTGTAGAAATTAAGAAGCCCACTGCCCTCCCGCAGTTGCTGCCCACCCAGTACTCAATCTCCAAAACCAGGCGAGCAGGAGAGGGAGGATAAGAAGCTGAGCAGGGGACTGGAGCGATAGCACAATGGGTAGGGCATTTGCCTTGCACGCAGCTGACCTGGGTTCAATCCCCAGCATCCCATATGGTCCCCTGAGCACCGCCAGGAGTAATTCCTGATTGCAGAGCCAGGAGTAACCCCTGAGCATCGCCAGGTGTGACCCAAAAAGGCAAACAAACAAACAAAAAGAAGCTGAGCAGGCAGGTGGACCCCACTGCTCTGGGACATGTGCCTGGAGTGACCCCAACCGTCAAGAGTCAGCCAAGCCACAAAGACAATCAGCACAGCTGTTCTTCCCCATATCTGTGGACTGAACTTGAGAATCAAAACTAAGAATCCACAATTAGCATTTCATTTTATCCCTAATACCTGGCACCCTGGAGCACTTGCCTACAGATATGAACTTTGAGGGGCCAGAAAGACAGTAGAGCGGGGTCTCACGTGGCTGATCTGGGTTTGATCCCCAGCACCACATACAGTTCCCCTGAGTCCCACCATGCGTGATCCCCAAGTACAGCCAGATGTGAGCTCCCCCCTCCCAAATAAAAACACCAAAAAAAAAAAAGCACCTTTAGGGTTCAACAAGGATGTGAGAGTCCAAGAACACTAATCTAGGATCTGCTCTGTGGTCCTTCCCATTCCCAAACTCATCTTTGTTCTCAACTGGGATAAATATTTAAGCATTTTGGCTTCCTGGTTTATCTATCTACTTCCTCACATGTTAGGACTGGGGCTCACCCTAAACCCCATAGTTCATTTGTTACAGACCAGGTCACCCATACCAGCTCTTCACCAGCGTCTTCAAAGACCAATGGTCTGACACCTACCACTGAAAAGCCAGCATGGACGCTGCCTGGATCCACGGAACCCCTTCCCCAGAACCTGGCCCCCTCACCCCAGGCTCTGTCCGGCCACAGCCCTGAGTCCACTAATCCTCCCAGAGATACCCACATTTCTGGGACAGACAGAAGGACAGTGTCAGTAAGGCCACTGGGCTTCACTGGCAGAACAGGACCAGCTCCATCACCAATCAGCTCTGTCTCTCTACACCCCATCCCCTCAGCTGCCCGATCGTCTGACTGTCTCCCTCCTAGGGTTCAGGCCTTGCGTTGGGCCTCTCCAAGCTGGGGGGGAGGGGGGCCGTCTCCGAACACCCCATGCCCTTCCTCTCCTTCTTTTCTTTGAATTAAAAACAACAAAAGTGACACACAACAAAAATAACTTGAGCACAGCAAGGGTACGAGCACCTCAATCGAGGATATAATCTCCGGCGAGCACTATAACACAACACATGTGAGAGCACCACAACTAAAACTTGTGACTTCCGGGTCACAGGTGGGAGCACCACCACTGAGTCTGTGACCTCAGGCATGCAGCAACCACAGAAACATAACTGGGAGCAACTATAAATAGACACAGGCATGATACATAAACACATCCATAAGTATGTAAACAAATAATGCAGCTGCGTTGTTTTTAAAAGGCTTTTTTAAAGGGTTTTTAAAAGGCTGGAGCAATAGCACAGCGGTAGGGCATTTGCCTTGCATGCAGCTGGCCAGCCAACCTGGGTTCAATACCTGCACCCCTCTCAGAGAGCACAGCAAGCTACCGAGAGTATCTTGCCCACACGGCAAAGCCTGGCAAGCCACCCATGATGTATTCGATATGCCAAACACAGTAAAAACAAGTCTCACAATGGAGACATTACTAGGCCTGCTCGAGCAAATTGATGAACAACAGGAGGACAGTGCTTCAGTGCTATTGTTTTTAAAAAACAACCTAGTTAAACTTGAAGACTTTTGGAAGACAATTCCACAGCCTCACACTGCCACCTCCAACCCCAAGTTCCCAGCAGCCCAAGTTAGCTTCAGCGACATTGAGTAGGACACCCCAGATAAAACACTACCCCATAGGGCCCTGGCCTGCCCACCACCAGAGTGAGGGGGTGAGGTGAGAGGGTGCAGGAGAAGCATCTGCTTCCGTGCCCCATAGCCCCATTCCAGTGGGAATCAAGGAGGCAGCAACACCCTCACAGATGCTGTGTCCACCAAAAGTGAGGACAGAAGCCCATGATGGCTACCACCTTGCTGGCGATGATGGGGAGGAACAGCAGCCAGACCCTCCATGGAGAGATTTCCCCAATGATCCCACTCATCCCACACCTTCCTCGAAGGTGTGGCTCCTGTTTCCTCTAAAGTAGGAGAGAAATTCCCGAGTGGGATAAGCAGGCCAGAGAGCCCAGATTTTCTTTTCTTTTTTTTTTTTCCCTTTCCTAGGAAACGCCTCCTTCCTGTGCTACACCCCAGGAGATCTTGGGGAGGAGTCCCACTCCCCAGCTCCCCACGTTTTGGCATTTCCACACCCTTCCCCACCCCACTGTGGGTCCCTCCCTTCCTCTCTTATTAATGCTGGGGAGAAGCCCTGCCAGTTTAGAAGAGCATGAAATTTTAGGCCACAGAGCAAACCTTTTTTTTTTTTAAAGGCCAGGACTACACTCAATGACCACAAAAACAAAAGCCAAACACAAAACCTGAGTTACAAAGCGGGAGCTTCTGGCAGTGTGGCATTCACAGGGAGGGGAGAGGGTAGAAGGACATGCTCCAGAGCATAGCACCAAAGGTGTCAGGGACAAGTTAACTCTCTGCCTTGACAAGGAGGAGCTCAAGGCTGGTGACCCACAGGCCCTGCCCTAGGCATGGTTCTCAGTACGTGGCTCTGCTTCCTGAACTCCTGCAAAATCTCCAGGAGCGGGTGCTTTTAGGATATGTGTTCTAGAGAACGAGATGCAGAGAAGGGTCCACTGCAGAACTAAGGCTGCAAGAGGATATAAGTGGGTGCAAGGGGCCAAGTGTGGCCGTGAGCTGTCGCACTGGGACCCACAAAAGGCCATACTCACAGACTGGCCTGCACAGCTCAGGGTGACCTGGAAATGCACGGGAGGGCCAGTTTTCAACTTGCTGACATCTCTGAAACACCCTGGGGTGAAAGCAGGGTTAGGGACCCCTTGAATGAGCTGGTACTTCACTGCCTGGAGGTTTCTGAGAGGTTCCAGAAGGCTCAGCAGCCAAACAGGGCTTTAAACTCCAGAGGAAAATTTCTCTGCCTGAAATTCTGGGCTGGACAGCTGACAGCTCCGGGCTGGACAATGAGCAATTCCCTGGCCCAGGTTTCCACTAGGCTTGAAATGAAAAATACCTAAAACTGGTCATCTGTTTAGGACTTGGGTTTCCCCGCCACCCACCTCCAGCAAAGGCATAGCAAAGGAGTGAGGAAACTTGTTCTCCCAGCCTGGAAGAAGGAAGTGTGGCGTGAGCTCGCACCTGTGGAGATTTGTTCAATCTGTTTACTTCTGCTACCATTGCCGGGATTAAGAAATGTCACTGAGGTATATGTACACTTACGTCAAATTGATCAAACTGTATGCTCAGAATATTTGCTGTTTATTGCCTCTCAATTAGATCTCAATCTGTTAAAAACAATAGAGGGAGGGGGGCTATTAGAAAGATTAGGACACGGTGTAGACAAAGTGTATGTCATGTAGCTTTCACACCTAGCAGGTACTCAGCAAATCATCAGTATGAGGTGATAATAACTCATACCAAGTCTTGGCACTGTGTCTCCAAAGGAGAAAAAAATTTCAAAATGTTTTAATGGAGCTGGGGTATTCAGAATACATGGGAAATCTAGCTGGGGTGCCCAGACCTGTCTCATTTGTCAAAAGGAGAAAGAGGCTTACTTTCATTCTGGATTTATAGATTTATATTCCATATATGGCTTTTGACCACACCTGGTAGGGCTACTTTCGGCTCAGTGCTCAGGGATCACTGCTGGCAGTACTTGGGGGATAAACTCAGAGCTCAGCTCCAGCACTTTGAGCCATTCATCTGGCCCCTAGATCAACTTTTTTTTCTTTTGGTGGGGGTGGTGGTGCTGGGACTGAAGCCTGGGCCATACACACACCAGACATGTCCTCCGTGGGCTAAGTTCTATCCTCAGGCCCAAAGAGAGGGTTTTTAAAAACTTACCAGAGTTCATGGTGGTGACAGGAAAGTCTTCTGCAATTGGGCCTCAGCACAGCTCTGCAAAACATAAGCCCCACACAATGGAATTAATGAATGGCTGGTTCAACATAATCCCCAGTGATTCATGTTTAAAATGCAAACACTAGCTGACCCTTGACAAAACAGGGCTGAGGCAGGAGTTGCCTGTCAGGCTTCTGGTTCTGGTTCTCGGTTCTATCTCCCATACTGGGTTTTGATAGTGGCCAAGATCTCGTCCAGCTCTAACTCTCTACTAAAAGGTTCAAGTTACCCTCAGAGGTAAGTTGTTAGTTTATGCAGATGAAGAAACCCTGGAAGAGAGGACGAAATATACAATATATACTATACTATGTGTATATATACATATATACATATATGTACATATATACATATATACAGTGTGTGCGAGTATGTGTGTGTGTGTCTGGTGTATACCTGGGGTCACAACTGACAGTGCTCAGCCTGATGGTACAAGCATGATGGTTCAGACACAGTGAAGTACTGCTGCTCAAGCTCTGCAGGCTGGGGGCCTTGCAGTTCCTGGTTGGGGGTGAGGAATGGGGGAGAAGACAGAGACGAAACTCAGCCACACGTGTGCGAGGTAGGAGCTCTGTCACTTGCACTGTCTCCTGTGGCCACACTCACTCCACTGCCCTGATTCTCCCACTGACCACGATATTCAGATAAAAAACATCTCCTCACGGTCCCTTCCAACAGCCCCAAGAACTCAACTGCTTTCCCTCATAGACGTTTATAAAAATGTTATCAGAGCAGAGTGAATCCTTTATGCCTCACTTCTCTCATTTAACAACACTTGAACAGCCACTGGCCACATGTATGTATGGCTCAATTTCCAAACTTGATTTGTTCCATTAATCTATCTTTGTTCTCAGTGTTGTCACAACTATACCTTTAAAAGTCTGTGAAGCTGGAGTGATAGCACTGCAGGTAGGGCATTTGCCTTGTGCTGGCCAACCCAGGTTCAATTCCCAGCCTCCCAAATGATCCCCCAGCACCGCCAGGAGTAATTCCTGAGTGCAGCGCCAGGAGTAACACCTGTGTATTGCCAGGTGTGACCCAAAAAGAAAAAAAAAACATAAGTCTTAAAGGACTCAAGTAGTCCTTACCAACTTATTCTGGCTATCCTAGGACCATTGTATTTTCATACAAAATTTGAAACAGTCATCCATGTCTATACTTTGGTCACGGTCACCGTCCTCCCGTTGTTCATCGATTTGCTCGAGCGGGCCCAGTAACGTCTCCATCATGAGACTTGTTGTTGCTGTGTTTGGCATATTGAATACGTCACGGGTAGCTTGCCAGGCTCTGCCGTGCGGGCGAGATACTCTCGGTAGCTTGCCGGGCTCTCCGAGAGGGGTGGAGGAATCGAACTTGGGTCGGCCATATTGGCTGCGTGCAAGGCAAACGCCCTACTGCTGTGCTATCGCTCCAGCCCTATGTCTATACTACCTCTTCCAAAAGTCTGCAAAAGTCTACTACATAAATTGCTCAAAATCCTGCGGTGCAAACCTCGCATGCAGAAGCCCAGAGTTCTATCAGAGTTCTACATCCCCCAAACACCACTGAGTGTGGCCCTGATAACCGTCCTCTGTGTGCACTAGCACTGAACCTCTGGGCCACGTACTGATGGAAGTGACTCCTAGACCCCTCTGAACACTGCTGGAAAGCCTCCTCTCACTCCATGTTGACTCTATAGATAAGGCTACAGAAGGTAGCCTGAAATGTTTGTTTTCTAAACATTTCCATTTCCAATTCATGGGAATGAGAAACTCCCTTTAACTGGTCTTAATTTTTCTGCAATATTTTGAAAGTACCAGTTATGCAAATGTTTTAACTTGGAACGTTTAGTTCAGTTTTTCCCAAAGTGGTTGATGCCACTGCCCAGGGCTTGAATCGATGCAGGCTGAGGGCAATAGTAGCTTCAGATGCAATTGGAGAGTGATGTCTGTTAGTCTGCTGAAAGAAGGTAGATTTCTGGAAAACAAGGGGTGACACTTTTCCTGAAAAGGGGACAGTAATCAAATCTGGGAACTATTAGAAAAATCTTAAGGCCATAAACTGAGAAGTAAGTCTGCAGGATACGTGAACTTCGCTGTTTAAAGTGCAATCTTTAGGGACCAGAGTGATAGCACAGTGGGTAGGGCGCTTGGCTTGCATACAACCAACCTGGGTTTGATCCCTGGTACCCCATATGGTCCCCTGTACCCTGCTAGGAGTGATTTCTGAGCCCAAAGTGTAATCAGTAGACCAGTGACATTGCCATCAGTCAGGAGCTTGTTAAAAACACTGAAACTCAAATGTGACCTTATACCAATTGCATCAGAATTTGCACTGTAACATGAGACCCAGCTGGTCCCTACACATTTTAAAGTGTGAGAAGCAACACCATTAGCCAAATTAACTGCACCGCGGCCAAGGCGAGGTGGGAAGATCTGCACAAGGAGATACACGCTTGCTTGCTTTTTGACAAGCCCAAGTCACCAGTGGCTTCCTTTTGGGACTGCTGCCTTGCTCACTGTCCTTGGAACTGAAGGAACAGAATGCAAGGGGTGGAAAAGGAAATTATTCTAAGTCCTTCCCTGCAGTCCAAATCAGCAGTAACTTTGCCTCTGCCACTTTGAATCCACCTGAGACTCTGTGACACCTTCAGCAATCCCCTCACACTATTCAATAGCATGGAAACATTTGCTCTCCCAGTCAAGTAACACAGCCTGCTGTGCTTGATACGCCCCCAGGGCTGCTTCCTAGTCCTTCTGCAAATGCCTACAAAATACTTATATGCCAGTGAACATATATCTGGAAGGTCACAATATATTCCGGCTTTTAACTGAGCTCCTGCAAGAACACTAGTCTGAATTTCTGCAGCCAGCCTCATTAAAAAGGTGCATAATATTTCATGGCAATACCACCACTGCACAACTCCTTTAGCAGTCCCTTCCGTGGAGCTTAGTTTCACTCATCTCCATTTGGAAGATGAGTACATGGCACATGCCATTCTTCTGTTGAGGGAGACATGACAGGGGCCAAAGAGAAAGGATGCCTCGTCTTACACGATGAGTAGTTTCTGCATGCTATGGGGGTTGCCCTCTGCCCTTCTTCTGACTCTCAGTATAGACACTACTGCTTTCTAGGAGTCAGTTCCCCTCTTACTAATAAGCTGATGGAAAGCACACAGGGTGAGGACCAAGATCCAAAATACTGAACCCTCGTGTTGCCATAAAGATCAGGATAGACACCAGCTATGATGCCGCCTGGGAGCCATGCCAGCTACTGGCTGTTTCAGGGCTGCTGATAAGAAGGTGGGAGAAGACTGGGCCCATGGTGGCAGAGAAGAGAACGATTTCAGTATTTTAGGCCTGAGTACAACAGTCGTGCGTGATAGTGTCATATACAGTGAATAGGTGAGAGCCAAGAACTCTAGAGGCTATAGGTTCTATTGCATTAAGTTGATACTTCATTTGCTGGGGGTTTTAATCTGATGCAGGGGATAGTTAAAGATAATATTAAAAACTGTGGCAAAGGTGTGGCAAGGACTACTGTGCCCAGGATGGTGCCCAAGATTCAGTGCTCACCAGCCAGGCACAGCACCACCAGCCCCTGTGATGACTGCAGTGCTGCTTCCGGTCCACTCGGGCTCCTGGAATTCCTGCCCGGGTCATGATGCAGCATTCTGGGCTCACTCCAATGGCCCAAGATCACAACCATAAATCTTAGTCTAGAGTTAGCCAGAGGCAATTTCTAGTCATCTGTAATCCCTACACCCTGACCACCAGGGGGTAACAGGCAGCTGGGGATCTGTTACTTGAAGAAGAGCATCTTCAAGGAAGAGAGAAGTGCCTGCCATAGAGGCAGGCTGGGGGTGGGGAGGGGGGGGGAGATGGTGGGAGGGAAATTAGGGACACTGGTGCTGAGAAATGTGTACTGGTGAAGGGATGGGTGGTAGAACACTATGACTAAAACCTAATCATGAACAGCTTTGTAAGGGTTTATCTCACAGTGATTCAATTAAAAAAAAAATCTTCATTCTTCTCTCCTGCATGAGACCTGCCTGCCCTGAAACCTCAGCAAATGTTTTTGTCTGCTCAACCTGAAAGACGAGAGTCAGGGTGGTAAGGAAGACAAGAAAGAGTACTTAAGAATGCAGAAAACCGGGGAGCTGTAAAGATAGTACAGGGGCTAATGCATCTTATACGGCGCTAGTTTGGTCAAGGGTCATTCCAGGAATAGTCTCTGAGGCCACCAGGTATGGCCAAACCCCAGAAAACTAGACTAGGGATGTGGCTCAGGAGTAGAGCACAAGTCTCATTTGTCTCACTGGGTTTGATCCCTGGCACCACACACACACACACACACACACACACACACACACTGCTGAAACTTGGGTAAGTTTTGCAAAAGACCTACACATCATAATCCAATCCTTGTTGAGACTCAAGTAATAACAATCATATGTAGATCCTGAGAGTTTAGTTTACATAAAACATCTCACACTTAGCATTTATTAAGGAACTAAGCTTTGTCAGGAGCTTGATTTGGTTGTGAATATGATGGGACATCTTTGGAATTTCTCCCATGTTTTCCCCTTACCTCCCCTCCCACAAAGGAGACAGCAACCTTGGGGTAAAAGCCAAAAAGTACAGTGCCATCTGGTGGCAAAGACTGACAGCTGCGAGTGGGTGGTTATTCCCACCCATTGTGGGCTGCAGGAACCAATTGTCCTGCAGCTTGGGTGGGCCACTGAGGGTCAAGCTGTCATTCCAATGTTTGGGCTGTCAAGACCTACCATACTTGGTCAAAGCATTACAGCATCAACACAGACATTCCACCAGAAGAACAAGATGTGAAGTAGCCAAAGTCGTTAAGCATGCATGCAGATAATTAACGTTCTGCTTGGTCCTTTCAGAACTACATGACCCTACAACTCTGAGCAAACGCTTGCTGATAAGGAATGAATGATTGTTAAAAAGGAAGAGGTGTATTCATATTTCCAGCTAGCTGAGGATTCAATAACTAAATAT